GCAAGATTAAAATGACTTATTCTCCCAAAACAGCTGAGGTCAGATTGGACAGGTGTCTTCTTTTGCTAGCCAACAACCCACACACCCATACTGCCCTACAAAGGCAAAAGACCTTAACTCACCAGAGTGTGGAACTGAGAAAAATGACTGTGGCAATTCTTTGTCTTTTTAATGAAGTTATTAATGTTCATAAAAATCTTTAGCTCAAACATGACCTTTGACCCTTGTTTTTAAGTTAAGGTACTCTGCCTTTGCATTGCCTGTATAATAATAACGGGTCATGCCAAGGCAAAAGGCATTAACTTCCATTTGTTACTGTATCTCACTTGGTTAAAATAACACAACCAACACTATTTCTTTGCTACACTTTAGTCAAGCTACTGTGTGTGTCAGAAGTGCTTGATGACAGATATTAAAACAAAGGCATAACACTTTAACTCCACTGCAGTAAAACAGTAACTTCACTTTGACCCGCAGCAAAACAAAGGCAGAAGACCTGAACTCAGTTTGAGCATTCCGGAATGCTGCTGTACAAAGGCAAAGACCCTGATGAGTGAAGTTAGTGGACTCGTTTCTCGAGGGCTAGGGTTAGGAAGTTAAAGCAAATACAACCTACTATTTTCTTTAAAAAAACAACACAATTGACTCAAGATATCTGTCCACATAATAAAGCACATCTGTAATGTTCCAAAAATGACAAAAACTCCTTTTTGAAAAATTGAAGTTACTGCCTTTTGCCTTTGTAGGGCAGCATAATGTGTTACATGTCTATGTTCTATGAGTAGTCTTAAAGATCCCGTATTATCCTCATTGTCATATTTCACGTTTTCAGTCTGTGAAACCTGTACAGTATAGCTTTACACTCATTTCAGCCTCGGCAGAAAACGGTTCATTTCAGCTGCTGTCTCTTTAAATCCCTTAAATCAATCCTTTGAAACAGCAAATGGTAAAAGCCAATGAATGGGCTGAATGGGCTGAAAGCACTGAATCAACTGTACATTGCAGGACCAGAAATTGATGATTCTACACGTAATTATGTAAAATATTTGCACACAATAAAAATTTACTTTTTCTCATTTGTTTTATACATTTAATCTTGAATGATCATGTTTGAATGATCATTGATCTTTACATCTGTTGAGCATGTGCAACATGCATTTATAAAGGATAAATGAAAACTGTGTTCGCAGATTTCGCACGATTCCTTCCTATGACACATCATCATTTGGGGCAAACGCCAAAAAGGCCTTTACAAGCTTCCTAAAAGTGCAAAGTTTTGGGCACATATCTTGCACAGCTGCAATTGAGTGTCTTCTGGCTGAGAAGCTGACTTCCTGTTAGATCCAAGCATATATTAATGGTGCAAATCATTTTCAAATTCCAAATATGATTTAAACCATTGGATAAGATGATTGAATTCATTTTTGTATTACAAAGAATTGATTCAAAGTTTCACAGCATCCCCTTTTCTAGTTTAAATAAATAAATACTTATTTGGCATGACATGATGAACTCTGATGCTGCAGAATCCCGACAAGCCCCCATGTCAAAATCGCTGAACAGCCCAGTTATATTCCATGGGACTTTTGAAACCATTGAACGTGTGCATACTTCTTCAGTAACAATGCTACTTATGTCGAAGACTTGTTAGTGTGAATAAACTAAACAGCTTGAGGGATTAAATGCCATATTCAATGAATAGTTAGACTTACTGATGCAAAATGTTAAATGGGACATATTATGAAAAGTCCACTTTGACAGTGTTTTTGAACATTTGGGTAACCTGAGTGTCTACTGACCCACAAAATGTGAAATAAATCCATCCAGTCCTTTGTTTGTGGTCTGCATAAGTCTTAAAACACAGAGAAAAATGCTCCGTTTCAAATTTGCTCTCCTTGTGATGTCACAGTGGGATTCTTGTAAAAATAAAAAACCTGCTCTCCCCTGGTATCTCCACCCATGGATTCCACCTCCAGCCTATAGCAAAACGTTTGCGCAGGTTGGCCATTTTTATTCTCACAACAGAGGAATAGATGAATGTCTACCGGAAAAACTCAGGGGGGGGGGGGCTCATTGCATTTAAAGAGACAAACACACCGAAACGGAGCGTTCTGAGAGAGCTGGTTTATACAGGGTCACAAACCTCCTCTGGTGCTTGATCCATCTTTTCATTCATTTTCAGAAAGCTCCGATTCAGCATGCAACTTTAAAGTTATAGCCAAAAACATTGTTAACCTCCCCCCTTGCAGTAGATGATGTTTGATGACTGTGCTAAGGTGAGATGCCACAGTTGTAACTGACATAGACCCTGACACTATCCACTTAAAATAAATAGTGTTCACTGGATATTCAACACTAGAACAATGTTGAATTGAAATAGAATTGATGTTGATTTATACTTCATGTGTGTCTGAGTCAGCCATCGTTCTCCCAGCGTGTAACGTGTCTCAAGTCAGTTTGTGGCACACACCCAGTTACATGGAAATAGATGGCACAGAGGTTAGAGAGAGAGAGAGAGAGAGAGAGAGAGAGTGGCAACACACATTTCCTGCATACCTCTCTTGCCTGGTCGTCCCCCCCCCCCTCCCTCCCACTTAAGGCTTCTAAACGAGAGTGCTTCACTAGCAGCGTGCTCCTGTCTAACCCTCTCTCTCTCTCCCTCTCCCTCTCTCTCTCTCTCCCCTCTCTTGCCTCTCTCTATACACCGGCTCGCTCTCTCAGTCGGGGAGTGAGGATTCTCGGTAACAAGCTGTAGCTTAATGTGGCCGTCATTTTTCATCATCACTTCAGTGACGTTCTCTTCCTTTTTTTTTTTGTTTTCCTGCTGAATTAAACATCTCTGCCATCCATGTCCGAGCTGACATCTACTATATAGAAGCTATTGAGGTGTAAAGGTAATGGAAAATAACTTTTAAGGCTGCTATCAGGGCACCTTTCTCTTTTCCAATCACTTTGAATTGGATTGCTTGTTCAAAGAGTGCTCTACAATGGACGGATTTTTGTTGTAGTGGATGACTCATTTTGGTTATTTCCCCCTTGAGACTGCTGGATATAGATTTTTTTTTATTTTGTTCCACCTGCGTGCTTCACCTCTCGATACACTGTAAGACTGTTGGGACTTTTATGGAGTGTGAAATTTTTGCAGCAAGTGTGAAGTTTGGGGGAGCAAAGTGAAACAAAGCATGGTTGATGGAACATCAGCTGAGTGTTGAACCATTCTGTCCTGGGAGGCAGTCCAGGTAAGACTCGTATATTGTGATGCATTTGTAATTGTCTGAGGGTTGTGGTCCCTCACAGGGCACGTATTACAGGTCTATTATGATCCTAAGTGTTATATTAATCCATCTTTTAGGGAAAACATAGCAGCATATGTGTAGTGTGATTCCTTTCTCAATGAATCTCTGATCTCAAACGCTTGCTTAATTGACTGTACAGGTGAATTCAAAGTTTTCTGTGTTCCTCCAATAGCTACGTCATCTCTGACACATTGGGATCTATTTGTACAGACGATAGGAAAAGCTTGCCTCATTTTGTCTGTACACTCAAAGAGAGTGAGGAGACATTTCATCATCAGCACTCTGACATTCTGTTGACGTATATTAAAACTCAGAGAGAACATCAACAAATGACCAAAACCCCTATTCCTGTTAGAAATGTTTAACTGTAAAAATGTTACATTAGAATAAATGGAATTGTGGCTTCATGATATCATGCTGTCATTTGGTTTCTTTGGTGCTTCACTTATGTTACAAATCAGATTGTGATCAAAGTCATTCATTCATTCAAGACACCTTCAGTGATGATGATGTTGAAGTTTATTTGCCCAAGAACTGTGCTGAAACTGTTCTCCTTTTAATTTATAAATTAAAAATATGAATGAACTTGTACTTTTTATGACCGAGGTTAGATTAATTATTCATGATAGTGTATTAGAGTCTGAATGTTCTTTTTGCATATTCATCATGTGTGTAACTTTAAATATATTTTGATGATGTTTTCTGTATTTTGGCTTAAATTAGATTTTGAAGGCAGGACTTTTTGTCATATATTTATTTTAATGGAGCGTTGCTTCTTTTACTATAAAGTACGAAAACAGCCGTTGCGTTTTCCATGACCTCTGAGGACACTTCATATCAATAAAGTTAGGGCAGACATTTTGCTTTTTACATTTCTTGTTCTGTTTGTTGATCTTTTCTTAGCAACAATCAATAAAACAAATGCTCTGGTACAGTTTTCAATCCTTAGTAGGTCTACCCAAACATTTAATTTAAAGCAATTGAATGATTTGATGGCTTATACAGTATCTCCATCTGCCAAAGCATGTACCTGTTGTGTAGTCAACCCCTGGACAGGACTCCTTGTAAATCAGAAGACTTTCCCATAACCTACTAATATTCAGGACCCAGAGCATTGGGTAGCAGTGCTATTAATGCACAGCCCAACTCTCCCAAATGCTCTTTTGTTTACTTGTCCTTCATTGGCAGTGCATGTCAATGTGTTTTCAGAGGTTGGGAGTTTTGACATTATTTGCATGAAAACTTTCAAAACCTGACTTCGTCTCGCTTTTTTTTTTAAATTGGCGACCCAATTTAAAAAAAGGAATGAATTGAATTGACTTGAGTTCACAGATTTATCTCAGAGCATCTTTCCAAGCCACGAGTGATCAGGGATTTAATTTCCTGTTGAGAAACGTGCTTACGTGAAAGTAGTCACAGCCATTTCAAATGAACGATGCAGATTCAGCTAAACTTGAAACGACGCCTGAAAAGAAGCTTTGCATTGAAAGCGAGCTAATTAAATCCCTCCTTTGTGACTTCATTCATGACAATGAAGATTATGAGTGAAATGAAACAGGCCACTATAGTTCCTCTTACTTTCAGAGTCCACATTTCAGAAAGATCCCCTATAGTTTCCAATCTAAAAGGCAAAGGATGATTGCCTAATGCCCTTTTTTCTAAATCCCAACCCTAACTCTTATTTCTATTCCCATGCATCCAGATATGACCACAGTGTCCATGGAACCTGTAGGAGTCCTTGTGGAAAGGGGCGCCAATGCCACTGACCCACCTCTGAACACGCATGAGGACTCAGCTGCCACCTTTACCATTGGAACTATCCTCTCCATCATGTGTTTCGTTGGAGTCTCAGGAAACATCTATACCTTGGTGGTCATGTGCCATTCCATGAGGACTGCTGCCTCTATGTACATCTACATCATAAACTTAGCTTTGGCAGATCTGCTCTATCTTCTCACCATACCCTTTGTAGTCTGCACTCACTTTCTTCAGGGATGGTACTTTGGAGATGCAGGGTGTCGGATTCTCATCAGCATGGACTTCCTGACCATGCATGCTAGTATCTTCACGCTAACAATCATGAGCACTGAGCGCTACTTTGCTGTGCTCAAGCCACTGGACACAGTCAAGCGGTCTAAAAGCTACCGGAAGGCCATCGCTCTGCTGGTTTGGGTTGCATCGCTCATCCTCACCCTACCGATGGTCATGAAAATTCAGCTGATGACATCGGGCAACAAGGCCATGTGTCAAACCACCTTGTCGCCCCTCTTCTATAAGGTTTACATATCCTTCCTGTTTTGCACTAGCATAGTCGCTCCTGGACTGATTATATGCTATCTCTACATCCAACTTGCGCGCACTTATTGGGTTTCACAGACGGAGACGTTCAAACAGACCAAGAAACTTCCCAATCAAAAGGTCAGTGCAAAACAAGGACGTGTACTTTAAAGTTCCCAATTTGTTCTTTTCTTCAGATAAGGGCACTTGTACTATTTTTCCTCTACAGTTCATCATAAAAGATTTACCCAGTGATTATTTATATGTCTATGAACACAGAATGACAACTCCACTACAGACTGACCAGAAGTCCTCCGCACTAAGGAAAATATACAAGTGACACCCTAACATGAAGGATAACAACATGAGCCAGTGCTTTCAATTAGGGATGTGTCCAGAGTTTTTTTTTTTTACTTGGGCACCAACTTGGCATGAAGTTTGTGTGCACAGATTGAAATCATGCATTTACCCTTCCTATCTCCAGTACTTATAATTGCTTTTACCACAAACATTAAAGTATCTAAAATATGTTATATTCCTATCTATAATTTCACAAAAAAGTAACACAACAAGGTGCGGTTTTAGCTCAATTGGTAGAGCAGGTGTCCCACAAATAAAGGCTACAGTTCTTGTCACACTGGTCCCAGGTTTGAATCCCGGTCCTGAAGCGGTTTGGTGCATGTCAACCCCCAAGCTCACTCCCAACATTTCCTGTCTATCTTCAGCTGTCCTATCAAATGAAAATGAAAAACCCAGAAAATAAACTTGAACTAAAAAAAGTAAATCAACAGTGTGGCAGCAAATATATCTTCTTAGCTTGATTCTTTAAGGACTCTAAAGGGAGATGTATGTGAAAAGTCACAGAAAGCTACTAGCAGCTTGTTGCAACACAATAGCCAATCAAAGTGTAGGATTGATGGCTGACCAGATCTCAAGAGGGCACATGCCACCCCTGGGCACCCCTCTGGATACACTCCTGCTTCCAAGGACATTACAAATTTCAATGGACAAATCACACCATTTACTGATCTTGGATTTCTATAGTAAAGGTTAACAAATTGGAAACACTTGGTTAGGGTGAGGATGATGTTTTAGCGAAAACCTTCCTCCTCCATCCTACCTCTGTGGGACTTTTGAAAGGGTATAAGTCATTAAAACAAATCTGAGACCCAGTTCTTATTTCTCCTTTTTTGGTGTGAAAATTTAATCTATACTCTGTCTCTCACTTTTTACCACGTCTGCAACTCAGCTGGTGATTGATTCAAACACATCTATCTTGTCAAAGCTATTGAATGGGCAGGGAGTTAGACATTCACATATATTCGACCTCCAAGCTCTTGATTTAGTCACACTCCTCATTGAGAGTCTTCTGAGCCTCATTGTAAAAGTCTTATCCTGTGACTCACATCAGGCTTGGGACATTCAGTCTCAAAACTCTTGTATGAGTCTTTATTTGAAGGCTTTGCCAACAACACTGTCACAATAAAAGTTGCTTTTTAAGAGTATGCAATGTACTGAAAACTCTTGGCTTGAAGCAGCATTACATTATCAACCCATCTCCCTGTTGCTGCAGGTTTGCCTTTATTCCATTCCCCTCTCGCTTCCTGCTCATGCTGAGAAAAATCCTTTTCCAATTTGCTTCGTAGCAGGGACTAAGAAGAGAGCTGCATTTTATTTCTTATCACTGTGATAAACTATGTGACGAATGCTGCCCTTCAATTGCATTAAAGACTTAAAATAGAATATACATGTACCTAAAAACATGGGGGGAAATGCAGACCGTCCAACCTTTAGAAGTGTTGGTCATGGAACAGGAATAATTAATAATCTCCTTATGTTGTGCGTTGCAGCGGCTCACTTGCTGTGATTAAGCTGGAGGAAAAACGGCAGGGTACACAAAGCTCTCCTTGGCTTTCGTTGAATGGATCACTGGGGCTAAATGATCAGGGCTCATCCAACAACTAGGGCAGGTTTAAAAGATTTGACAAAGCTAGACGTGTATGTCTGAAGAAGATCATCAAACTAATTTATTGTGCGAGACAAGTGCTAAAAACCATTAGTGTGGCACTAAAAGGTCTAACCCATGTTCATAGAACACGGTTTATGACATAAATCATTATTATTGTAGGATTACTTTATGGATATACGAGCAAAGTGTAGCTCTATTTTCTAAAATAGCCTAAATAAATCAAAATCAGATTGATGTTGGCATGGCATACCTCATTTAGATTGGGTCATGTTAGGTCATGATCAATGACATATGTGTATACAGTCAGTCTGGTCATGTATTCACCAAGATGATAACATTATGGTAGGCAGGGCATTGGACACTATCACACAGTGCTGTTGATCAATGACGCTCATAACATTTTTTCTCTGGCCTCAAACCCCTTCAAGGTGCTGTACCTGATATTCACGATCGTGCTCCTCTTCTGGGCTTGTTTCCTGCCCTTCTGGATCTGGCAGCTGCTGGGCCAGTTCCACCCTTCAATGTCCCTGTCCACCAAAGTCAAACGAAACATCAACTATCTGACCACATGTTTGACGTATTCCAACAGCTGCATCAACCCTTTTCTGTACACACTGCTCACCAAGAACTACAAGGACTACCTGAGGAAGCACAAGCGCTCCTGGGCCGCTGGCAGCTACTTCAACAGGAGGAGTCGCTTCCAGCGTTCCCCGCGCAGGTCGCCATCTTCGAGCAGTCAGCAGTGCACTGAGAGCTTTATGCTTACGCACACAGCATCCCTGCGAGCACACAACAGCAGTTTGTAAGGTAGGAGCTGATCTTCTGATCTGATTTGTCATTGATGCTGATGAGAAAATCAAAAGATTAAGAATCTCAAAACTGTTTCCTTGTGTTTTCCCAAAACACAGCTTCGAACAGCAGTTTGGTCCAACTTTTGTTTTTTCCAATTTTGTAACAAAGATTGTGCAATATCAGAATGCCTACATTTGTATTCATTATTTTTTTGAAGAGTGACTTTGTTGTAGTTTAATAAAAGAGCAGAGCCAGGTATTAATACGCTGAATGATTGCAGATGGCTTTGATTTCTGGCCCTCTGAAATAATGTGTTTCAAACATTATGTTATGTGAAGTACTCTTGTCCATATGGGACGTCTAGTGCCTCTCAGTGTTTATGTATGGAACTGGGTGAGCTGGTTAAAACATGCTCAGCAACAATAAATATTGTATTACATCTGAAACTCAGAGAGTTTCCTAACAGCAACTTTGAGTTGTTTTGGAGTCTTCTTCTTCAAGGGGAATAAATGTATGAATGAATCACACTCATACATTTTCATGTAAGTTAGGAGAGTTGTGAAGTCACATGCTTGGAGAGGAGAAAGTATTCGTCTTGTTGAAGAAGAAAAACAGGGTTAGGGTGCTTGTTAACAAGTTTTTAAGGCCTTTCAGTGTCATTTGAGGACTAACTGGGAGGACAATTCAAGACTAGGGCATGAGCACTGAATGTTTTAAAAGCAAAAACATCTAAAATTAGATTTTGTATTGTAGCTTTGACAAGTATAAAAACATGTTACCACTTTAGTGCGGTAGGTGTTGTTAGTCTTATCTAGTATGTATCTATGAATAGCCTCCTTTAGGGGAATGCAGTTGCAGAGTTTGACACTTTAAGGCCCTAACCCACACCAAAGAGAACCGTCGGTGGTTGGTGAGACGAATCTCTCTGATTGGCTGTTCGGGGGTTTAATTTATCTCCAGCTCTCGACACAGGTTCAGGAAAGCCCCTTGAGCTTGCAGCTGTAGTATCCATGTTTTCACCCATTAGTGTGGTTTCTTCTTATGTGTCTCCTCCGCCTCTTCTTCTGTTTTCCACTAAAAGACCAAGGACTGACAACGCCAGCGTCATTTTCAACTTTTCATCAGACATTATTCTCAATAAGTAGGCTACCTATAATACGAGAGGTGACCGATAGTCTGAAGATGGTCTTCTCGTATCACAACAATGGACTACCGCCACCTGCTAGCATGGAGGGTCATCACTATTTCTTTGTCGTCTGCTTGGTGTGTCACGGCCTTTACACCAGGGAGGAGATAAGATATTACTTTATTACCCCACCTGCATGTTGAATGCTTTTCTGCACAGATAGGTAACATTTTCTGAATAGTTTTAATTTCTAAAGATAACAAAATACATTTGTTATGGTCTAATTCATTTTAAATTGACAGTTATATGCAGATAAGCTTTTACAGCTACGTTACATTCATTTGGAAAACACGTTTACCCTTTTCTAAACTCTAAACCCATGCTGCAGATTTACAGATTTGCAGCTCCAAAATGAAAGGAACCATAACGGGAACAACCAAAAACACCTGCAGGGACAATGTCAGCCAGGCTTTAGTGACAAAACATTCAAACTGTTTTAAAAAGCCATTTCAGTTTTTGCACGGCCTCTTGAACTCAGTAACTGTGCAGCATATTCATTATCTGATAGTGCAGCTTTAGAGTTGCTTTTTCATACTTCCTGATATATCCTTTTTAAGGTTTCCTGTTCTATATTCAATTTGTACTTGTGTCAGATTCTTTATTATTTCATCGTCTATAAATCCTCTTAGTTGATTCAAGGCAGTTCCTGTTTGGAATCTGTACGAGGTCTGATTATATCTCAGCTCACAATTGCACAATTGCCAGGTGCCCCACTTCTTTCAGCACATAAATATTTTGTGTGGATTTATGTATGTGTCTGCCAGTCGGCATCAGTCTTTGATACATTAAATGGGTTTTATATGTGGGTCACAAAGGACTGAATCATAGAGCAGCAGAGGGGAACGAAGATTGGACAGCAGGACGACCGGAGAAGGGGGTCGGGATGCCACTTATAGAGTTTGGCAGCAGAGCCATATAAATGCCGTGCTGTGAAAAGCCAGCTGGCAAACAACTGAAAGATTTATTTCTTTGTTCTTTTTGCGCATTATGATATCTTTAAAATTAATAAGTAAGGCGGCCAAAGATACTAATTTAATCCAGATTAACACATCAGAATATTTAAGCGTTTACCCACTTCTGCAAAAACAAAATCAATTGGAAATAGACTTTTTAAATTCAAAGATATATTGCTTTTAATTCCATTTTGTCCAACAATAAAAAAAAAAGGAAAATCCAATTTTTATAATTCCGTTCATAGCTCTGCACTCAGCTAATATATTGGCAGAGCTCCGCCCTAGATTACTTGATGGTGTGTGTCCAAGGTTGCCTGCAGAGAGGGAGTGTAAAACAGTGAGCCATTTATTTCTACTCCCTTCCTTGGATAACGATGTACTGAGTGACACCTGCAATAATTCACAAGGGCAGAAAATATGATCGCATACTGGCCACATTGAGACGCACGCATGCACTGTGTATCTTTAATATACTCACAAACACCACCAAAATGTTGTCCTAACTGGAATATTCACACTCGCACTAAGCAGGAAAATTCCCGACAAGCGAGCAGGCTTGGGTTGTTGACATGTATATTGGGAGACTGGTGTGAGTTTCTTGCACGCAATTAAGCAGCTTCATACCGATTTTCTGCTTGCAGGTCAATTTGGTGCTTGAGCATTTTTATTATCAATCTTTTCGCCTAAAAAGTTCGATGCATTCTATTTAACAGTGTGACCAATTTCCCCAATAATAATAAAATGCTGAGTTCATGACAGCAAGTTCAGCCACCATCATCGCCTACAGCACGCTACCTGAAGAAAAGTTGTGTATTTCAAGCAGCTGCTTCGCTGTGCAAAACACCCTGGATACATAGCGACGCTGACCAGGCTGGCGACGTCACTTTTTGGCAGCTTTTCTCCCTCATTAGGTCATTAGAGAATCACGCATTCAGTGAAAACACAGTGGGATAGTGTTGAGTAAATAAACCATGTGGAGTGCTGGTTTGATTAGAAACTCTTGAGATGAAGAATACAAGTGAGCAGGTGGGCAGTGGTCTTTCTTTATGCGAACAACTACTGCAGGTTCTGTTGCTTTGTCTGCCCCCTTGGAGTGTGAGGGAAAAGTGTGATTCATAGACTTTAAATACGAATGGAAAAAGCCTGAGAGACGTCAGCCATCTATTAGTGAAGGGGGCTCTGGAGGCTCATCGTAGGCAGACCCCATGGTGGAAATGCGGTCTCAGCCAGGCTGACAGGCTGAGAGCTGGAGCTGAGACGGGTTTTAAGCTTCTGATAACACAAATTGTTCATAAAATCAAAACGGATTAACACAGTACAGTGTGTGCCCACGAGGAAATTAATCAGACCTACGTCTATAATATATATTTTTTAACCAGGCTGTAATCATGTTTGCTTCTGTTGTGAAAACGAGTATTTTTAAAGGGGGTGTATGTGACTTCGAGCCAAGCAGACACTCGATGATCTGCAGGATTTTGCACTTCTGCTTCATTTTTCAAGTCAGAAAAATTTTAGGGGCTGGCTGTCCTGAAATGTTCTTGAATTTTTCAAGAGTTTGTGTGAAAACTTTTCAAAAGTCTTGATGAGTGTGTTTGTGTGTTACCCTTTATTTTCAGTGTTGGGAACTTAGACGCACAGTACATGTACGTTTGTATCAATTAGTATTCATTTGAATCCTCAGTTTATGGAATATGCATTGTTTTGTTGGAGAGACTTTGGAGCTTTATTTGCATCTTTAAAGCGTGTGTATGTAACTTTGGCCAGGGCAAAGCATACAGTATCACACAGCAGCCTTTAGCTGTCTCTGTAGTGTTGGATACAATGTCTGAGGCTAAGATACAGAAGAGGACGGTGAGAAGTGAAGCTTTGGAGAGAAAAAGAGAGAGTGACCGAGCAAGAAGGAGGACGAGAGGAACGGCTTTTACATGTTGGCAAGAGCTATGTCAGTAATACAGAAACAGAATGTTAAAACGTAGCATATAGACCTACTAGCCTGCATTTCAATGGATGCACACAACTGCCCAGCAAGTAGGTATTATGATCTGTTTCCCGGCTACAGGGAAAGCAACAATACGACAACAGAGTGTACATCCCTGTAGATATAACATAACGTATGGCTGTCTTCTTATCAGTGTCATCATGGCCTTGTGTTTTTCAGCTTTTCTGGGTGCAAAAAATGATCTCACCTAAATAATTATTCAGGCTCGACTACAAAGAAATAAATCACTTGTACTTCAAAAAGTTGTCTCTTTCCTCGTCGATCTTCAAGTAAGATGCATAACTTCAAAAGACATGACTTTAAAAATATCAGTCTTACAGACCAATATAAACTAGCATGTTACAAATGTCCCTCTCCGGTGTAGCCAATCAGCCTCGGACTGTAGATAATGGTGACATGAATGTACACATACTCAACATGCAAACAATTAGCAAACAACGGGCTCAAGGCGCTTGCTCAAAATCCGGTAATATTACTGAACCTTGTCAGTTCGTTAAATACAGTTTATGTTAAGAATGATTCACGTTTATATTTTTCATTAAGTATCATGAAATATGTTTTTAATTATATATTTTAATTAACTCATTATATACTGCAGATGTTCTAACTCAGTGAATTTAAATATTAACTACATATGCAACATCGCTGTGATGCACATACTGTAGAGGCCCAGTTATGTTTCTCTAACGAGTCACTCTGAAGGTCATTGCTCAGCCCATTGTCTCCTCTGGGAAATAACCGTCCAGCCTAATGTGCTTTCATTTAAACCATTAAGGAGGCAATCATCATCAATGTTTGATTTACGTGTAGCATTATACTGTACAAGCTTTTTAATTATGATGGCACATAAACAGTTTATATGCCCTGGAGAAACAGA